GTATCTGATTTATCATCACGGGTTTATTACGAATCAACTTAACGGCCTGCTCCCAGTTGGCTTGTTAGCTCAATTGGTAGAGCGCTGCACTAGTATCGCAGAGGTCAGTGGTTCGAATCCCTTACAGGCCTGATTTTTTTCAGGTCTGATTTTCGCTATTGCTTAAACAGCGCTATTTACTGCGAGGATCGTGCATCATACGATTAGATAAAGTTGGAAAGCGCGTACAGTAGCGGTATTCACAAACATGCTTCTCCATAACTATATAGCTAGCTGCCTTAAGATAGGATATATACAACTATATATCACATTAAAGTATTAACACAGATGTGATGACAATGTGATGACAGCACGGAAGACACTGTCAAGGATAACGCTTGCTTCCAACCGCGATTTCCAAACTAACTTTGGTCCCTTTTTTCAGAGTGAGTCCTGGCGTTCATCCTTTCATATAATGAAACGTTTTTATTAAAGAGCAAATTAAACTCATTTTTACACGAATGGTTGAGCACCTGGCCTCGTTTTTAAATGAAGCTAAGGGTAATTCGGAAATAGCCCATTGCCTACTTACAATGCTGTTTAACAAATATTTAGCCTACGTGAGAAAACTGATTGGAAATAATATAAATGCAAGGTCATGTACTTTGATCAGCTCGTATTCCACTAGGAATACAACTAATAAATTATGTCATGAGGCAGTAGTCCTGATTAAATTTTTTTTTTATTTTTACCTAGAACACTTTTCATTTCAATTCTACATACTGGGAAGATAAAAAAAAGTTTCACCTTCAAGGAGGCAAGACTGGGTTTGATTCAAATGAGACCAAGCTACCGACCTACTGGAGCACATCCTTCTCCAAGATCTGTCTTGGTATGAGGATCGCTGGACAACTCAGGTTTATCGTCATCAATAAGAAGGCCGACTCTTTGTACTCACTGATCGCTGATGGAAAATATCGCGATACATCACTGGGGCGTAACATGTGGAAGAAACTTACTGGTCCTTCTGCTTCTTTGCAGCCCAATTGTAACAAGGAGGGATTCAATGCAGATGCCTATGATGATCCTAGGTTTAACAAAGACAAATCCAAGGCAAGAATTGGTATCATAGGTAATGAACAGAATAATTGTAAAAGCTGCGATTCGAGAATTGGATTCGGCACAGGAGGATATCCTCAGGAAGACAACACTTGCGGCAACGTTGTCAAACATAAAGGAGATCGTGGAGATAGAAACATTAATGCTATGGGTTATATAATGGTGCAGTAACAAGAAAAAGGAGTTCAAAATGAGTAAAATGTAGATAGCACCAGCACTACAGC